TTACAGAGCTGGAACTTTCAGTCCCACCCCTGCACCTGCAGGAAGGGGAGAGGGGCTGGAGGTGGAATCAGTCACCAGTGGCCAATGGTTTATTCAGTCATGCCTGTGTAATGAAGCCTCCATAAAAGCCCTAAAAGAAAGGTTTCCAAGAGTTTCTGGGTTGGTGAACATGGGCAGATTCAGGGAGAGGGATGTGCTCAGAGGGCATGGAAGGGCTTCATCCTTTCCCCATATGTCTCTTCCAGCTATCTCTTCCTGAGTCATATCTCTTCATAAGAAACCTGTAACCTAGTAAGCCAAATGTTTCTCTGAGTTCTGTGAGCCACTTTGTATTAGTAATTTAATCAAACCCAAAGCAGAGGTTGTTGGAACCACCAGTGCATATGAAGTCTGTCCAGAAAGTATCTAGCCACATACTATAAAAAATAGAGACGTTTATGGAAGAAGATATAAAATACAAGAGACATTGTACATAGAATAAGGATGCCTCAGTCCCCTTCAAAGTAGGCACCTTGGACCTCACACAGTTCTCCCAATTGCCATCAGCTGCCCTGTTGTATTTTCTTGAATCTCATTAATGATCTGAAGTCTCTTCCCTTTCAAAGGTGATTTTAGTTTTGGGAAAAGCCAGAAGCCACAGGGCAACAAATCTGGGCTGTAGTAGGACTAAGTCACCCTGGTGATTTGATGTTCCATCAAAACACTCTGCATGAGACATGATGCACAAGCAGGCTTGTTGTCATGATGAAACTGCCAATCACCAGTTGCTCATAGCTGTGGCCTTCTGAATCATCCAAATAATTTCTGCAGAGCAATATTCAAGCTTAATGCAAAATTTGATGCAGCTTCTTTGCTCTACTCAGTCATTTTGAATGCGATGGCCACACAGTGCATATGGTCACTCAATATCATCTACGGCCCCCATGGACTAGTACAGTGAAGTTGTCATTGTTCATACATGCTCATTCCAGTCCATTCTCCTGGGCTGTCAGGTTATATCATTATTGCTCAAACTGTTCTCATGTTAACAATGGTTAGACTTTTTCTGGATAGACCTCATATAGCAGGTCATTCAGAAGCACTGGTGACAACCTGGACTTGTGACTGCTGTCTGAAATGTGTTGTGTATAGTGGTGGTAGTCTTGAAGGAGTGGGTGCTTAACCTGTGGAATTTCTGACACCATCTTTGGTCAGATAGTGTTAGAAGAGTTGAATTATGGGATACCCAGCTGGTTTTTGAGAATTACTTGGTGTGAACGCCCTCCCCCCCGTCTCCCAACCCATCTTGCACCCATGTTGGATGTAATTGGTACTCAAATCTCAAATTGGATTAGAGAACTTCAAGGTCCATTGTAGTTTAAAAGCATTCATATTTGGAGCTCCTGAGGGTAACTATTGCACCTCACATTTGTGTATCGAGTATGGTATGTGAAGTACTTTCTCCAGTGTTAATGTCCTTGCTCTGCTGTGCGAACAAGAGTTATTATTTACTATACCTTCCATGGAAACTTGAACAGGTACTAAGAAAAAATCATTCGGAGAAATACCCTGATTCTTAACCTGAACTCCATAGCTACTCTGATAGCTGTATAGTGATATCTCATTGCAGTTTTCATTAGCGCTTCCCTGATGACTAATGATATTAAACACCATTTCAAGTGCTTATTTGCCATCTGTTATCTCTTCAATGAACAGCTCCATGTTTTCTGGCCATTTTTTAAGTGGATTGTTTATTTTTTTACTGGTGAGTTTGGGAGTTCTTTATAGATATTGCTGCTTTGTTGGATATGTGTTTTGCAAATATTTTTCTCCTAATCTGTAACTTTTTGTATCATATTCTGAAAGGGATCTGTGACATAGCAAATGGTATTGATTTTGATGAAATCTGGTTTATTTGTTTTTCCTTTTATGGATCATTTCTCTCTTGGGTTATTGCAATAGGCCCACTCTTCTCTCTGCTTCTTCCCTTGCCTCTCAAATAGCATTTTCTCAAGAAAGTCATGAGAATGACTTTTATGTAAAAGGCAATTTTTTACTCAAAAGTCTCCAAACTTTCCATGTTACTCAGAGGAAGAGCAACAGTCTTGACAACAGCCTAAGTGGTCCCTCATGATCTCTGTGATCTCATCGCTCCCTGTCTTGGCGCTGACCACACTGGCTTCATTCATGATCTTCAGACAGGCCAAGCAATGCCTGATCGAGGACTCCAGACTCTTCATTTTGCCTGGAACATGGACCCCTAGCTCTAAGCTCCCTTATTGCCCCCTGGTCTCACTGACACAGGACCTTTTTAGTGAAGACTTCTCTGACTTCCCATTTAACGTAGAAGTGGCCTCATTTCCTATAGCCCCAAATTCAAGTTCTTACTTTATTTTTCTGCATGGTACTTGTCAACATCTAACCTATTCCATATGTCACTTATTTTGAAAAATTGTCTATTTTCCCCCTAAATTAAGCTCCTTGAGAGAAAATATTTTTATCCGTTTGTTTGTAAATGTTCAGCTACAGGGTCTAGAGAGCCTGGCACAGAGGAGGGACTCAGTAAATATTTACAGAATGAAGAGTGAATGGAGAAGGGAAGGAATGATTATATGAGTCCCAGCCTACCTTACACTTGCTGAGATAAACCCCATAGTCCCAGCTTGGAGAATCTGAGCCATTGCTGGAATCATGTTTTCTTTTCTAAAGACAGGTTCCTTTCTTTTGGGAATTCAGAGTCTAAGAAGGATGCCTTAAGGATCATTTGCCTTGGAATGGTGGAATTAGAATTTCTAATGAAATTTCAACTTCTACTGAAGTAATGGTTTTCAATGGTTACTAACGCTATTTGTTGAAAGGCTGATGAGAACATCATAGTGGGGGGACAAAGCCCACCACACCTGAAACCACTGGTACATTTAAATGTCATTAAAAATGGGGCAATTTTATGTGCTTCTTGTTGTGATGTAATAGGACAGTCAAAATAATGTTGCAATAATAAGAAATTGAACTAAATATAGTCAATTTTCTAGATTTAATTTCATGTTTACAAGGAAATACAGGTATTAGGGGAAAACCTTAAATGATGTTACAATCAACCAACTGAAATTGGAAAATTCTACAGGATAAACAACTTAGTTTCTTTAACAAATAAATAGCAATAAAAAAGGTAGGGATGAGGGACTTGTTCTAGGCTTAAAAATACATTGACCAATTGTAACATATGGACCTTGTTTGGGTATTGAAAGCAATGGACCAGGTACAAAAAATGACATTTTAACACAGTTGGAGGAAATTGGGTATGGCTTGGTTATTGTTATGAAGAAATTATAGCTAAATATGTTGGGTGACATAGTATTGCTGTTATGTTAAAAAAGTTTTTGTTGAAGATAAATACTGCTACATTTAAAGAGCAATCATATAGTGCCTGAAATATGCTTCAAAGTCCTGCTCCTCAAAACACCTAAACTAAATGATCGAAAGGCTAAGTGTGTGTGTGCATCTGTGCATATACAGAGCAAGAATGACAGAGTATTGATAATTGTTGAAAATTGGGCAATGGCTTCATTAAACTGTGTTCCTATTATACAATTCTCTTTACTTTGTGTTGGAAAATTTCTACCACAAAAGGGTTTAAAAAGTCGTCTTCTTTTCCTGGGATTTTCCAAGAAACAGGAAGGTTAATCTCACCAGCAAATCTTCACAAGGCTGCATTTGTCTGATCTTTACTCTCCCTGTGCCTGTGACTGTAAGATATTCTGTGGTGCCCTTTCAAGTTTGGACACCCATCAGTTCATTGCTAATGTTAACAGTAACTTCTGGGAGTTTACTTCCTCCATATACACCAGACCACCCATTGCATCATGGCCACTGCCTCAGAATGAGGTGTCTTTAATTTTAGATTGGAGCCAGGAGGGTCCAGGTGGTTCACCACTTACAATTGGTATAAGTTTCAGCCCACAAGCAGAGCTGTGCAGGAAACAGTATGAAAATTTTTATAACTGCACTTCGTTTGTATTTTCAGCATTGATTCTGCAGGTGTCCAGTTTGGAATTTCACCCATTCCTGTTTGGAAATTCCAGAGGGCCTGGGTCCTGTGTGGTGGTGATGCATGGTCACTGTTTACTAGAACACACAGTTGTAGGTTTAAAGTCCATCAGCTTGGTTGCCATGCCTCGTTTAGATTGGGTGGTCCCCTTGCTGTGGGTGGGACAGGTTACCAAGATTCCGCTTGCATGCACCATACATCCATTGTCCTCTTGGATTTTTTATTTTGAGGGGGCACATCTACCTCCCCAGCCACATGTGGGAAGCCTCTTCTCTGTGATCCCTACACATTTCTTACTGACTTAGTTGGCACCTCTCAACCCTAGTAATGTAAGAAGGGATTATCTAACTTCAAAAGTCCTGCTTCTGGTCTGTGTGTGCTCAAGCATCCTTCCTTTCTATGGAGTCTGGGGTTTTAGAAGTAAAGGCAGAGATTACCAGCATGCTATTACTGCTTCCACCCTGGCTGTGCCCCTCCTCTGGCCGATAAACACGGAGTCTGCTACCTACTTGAATGCAGAAGGGAAAGGGTGAAATAAAGGGAGAAAAGAAAAGAATGACACAGGAACAGGTTAACATCTCAAAACATCCTGCCACATTTGAAAGATGCACTAGTAGAATTCATGGGAGAGGTTCCATCGGGAAAAAGGAATTGTTCTTGAAAAGGGGGTGTGGGAGTGGCAGAGACTGTTGAGCCTCAGTCCCCAGAATGTTTCGATGTCATCACTGAGGTCACAGAGTTTTGTTGTGGGCCCGGCAACCTTTGCACCTTAACAGCCCTGTGTTGTGGTGAACCCTGGGCCATGCTGTGGGTTCTCTGAGGGGTCTGAGTTCTTCAGCCCTGTAGGAGATTCTATTTTTATTTGCACTGAATCATTTCAATGGACATCCTGAGATCCAAGAAGGGCCGACCTGTAGGGAGAAGGAGGAGCTGGATGTTAGGCATCTTCTAAGGGACTCTTCTAGTTGGTGCTATGAAACGGCAACAAAAAAGGAAACATTTGGAAGATAAAGAGTCCCAGGAAACTGGCGAGAAGGGAGGAGGTATGTGCTGGGCAACCTGTCTGAGGCCCACGGGTGGCTGCTAGCCTGAGCCTTCTCTAAGAAGCTGGGTCCGAGGAAAATGTGTCACCTGTGAAGTAGGCAGGGGAAACCCGATATTGGCTGATGCTGCCGTGTCCATCCCGAGGGTCTCCACAGTGTGAGATGGCAGAGAGGCCAGATGTCCCTGGTAGATGGAAAGGCAGCCCTGCCAGTCTGAGCACTGCTTTCCTGGGGCTGCTCAGGCCTGGAGCTACATCAGACTCTGACCCAGCTGGGGCTCGGCTTGCACAGACTCACAGGTGCAGCTTTTCTCAGCCTCCTTGTTCCTTCTGTTCTCTTTATTGGGTCTTACCCTGGGGTCACTGGGCAGGGGGTGTAAAGGATGCTGCTAGAGATCCATGAGTTGCTCTGTGCATTTGACCCAAGAGGATACAAGAAGCCCAATGACTTAAAGGATGTGCTGAAAAACATCTTGAGAAGCGAAACACCTGTTTGAAAGGAGATTGTCTGTCTAGTGAAGGCGTCATATTGAAACAGATTTTATTCCTTCAGCTAGAAGAATTGACCAGTTAATCTATGGGAGTTTGTGAATCCACAGGTGTGGATTTCCCAGAGGTCAAGGGGTAGGGAGGGCCTTCTGGAGACTAGGACCAACTGGACGAGGGTAAGAACTGTTGTCAGGGCCTGTGGGGAGCGCTGAGAGCCGTGGATATACTTTGCAGGCCACGTGGTGACTGATTCCATTAAATATAAACTAGTAGCTTGCCCTGAGAATGGGGGCGGGTCACATGTAGGAGGTGGGGCACAATGGAGCCCATTGCAGAGATCCAGCTCCAGGCTTCTGACCCAAACTGGAGCCCAGAAGCTTCCGTGAGGCCCAGCGCCCTGAAGACAGTAGGATGAGCCCTGGGCACGAAGGCCTGGGCAATAGGCAGATTTTCAGACAGTAGCTGGGACGGGGAAGGCAATGATTGCCCCTGCCCCTTACACTTAGGATCTTTTTGTCCGTGTGTGTGTTTGGTGGGAGCTGTGGGGATAATACAGGCAGGGTACTCATTGGATGTGCAGTCTGTGTGGTAAGGCTCCTGTCATCCTGCCCAGTACACGTAAGAGTGTATTCAGAACTCTTATGAAGAGCGTTCCGTGAGACGGTTGTTCCATAAGCACACGCATACTCTGATGGAGAAAAAATTGCATGTCTCCACACACAACTTCTTTTTTAAAACACACATAGAGCATGTACATACATGCATACATCACTCCTATACTGTGTTCACATATGACCCCTGTGTGTGCTGTCCTCTCTTCCCACACCAAACTCTGGAGGTTGTACTAGATATAGCTCTACCTATATCTAGTTAGAAACATACACTATACCTTCAACTGATACAGACCTGGCTACTCCCAACTATCTCTAAATACCTCTATAAGAACCAGTCATGGGTCACACACACTAATCACACAACACCTTGTGTAGTAATACCAAACCCACTTTGCACAAACCATCAAAAAAAACACATTCACCAATTCTTACTAAGGTTGAAGGATAAAATACAGAATATCTAGTTAAATATGAATGTCAGATAATCCACAAATAATTTTTTAGTATGTGTATGTCTCAAATATTATAACCCAAATATTGCATGGGAATATTTACACTAAAAATTATTCATGGTTTATCTGAAATTCAAATTTAACTGGTGTCCTGTATTTTTGTTTGTTAAATCTGTCTACCCTTATATGCTTACTACCAGCTGACACATCAAATACCTCCTGTATTTCTATTTAGTGTCTGCCTTCCCTTTCTAGAATTTTTAGCATTTTTAGAGCCTAGAATAGTGAAATAGTGCCTGATACATAGTGATTGTTCACTGAATATTATAAATTAATGAATGAATGAGTGAATATAGACCATAAATACAAACCGGACCATATAATCAGGCCACACAGTCCTGAGCTGAGAACACAAACCATGCACACAAACTTTCCATAAACATAGATAGACATTTCCACACTGTTCACCACACCAATGCGCCACCCCATCAAATACTTAGCTGATACACATCACTCTCACACTTCTGACATATTCACAGTCACCACTCATGCTCGCATTCCTAACAAGACACTAATAAAGTAATTATTGGTTATAACTAAATACTGGAGTAACCACAGAGAACCAGAGTCCGAGGCATGGGTATTCACTGCACCTGAAAGAAGCCAGCCACTCAGTAAACACATGTTGGATGAATGAATGATTCACAAACACGCCCAACCAACCACATGACTGCGGTTTTCATCCTTTCTCAGGAATCTCGAGGTCACAAGAGGATGCTCCTCAGCTCGGATTGACCAAAGTGGCCAAAGGCTGTGGCACAGGGGCAGAGGAGGCCTCCTCTGCCTCCGAATACTTCTCCTGTGTTTCTTCTCCAAGCAAGCTCGTCCATGGCAGTGCAGGTGTGGGCAGGAGGCACAGAGATCCAACCATGAGCCTTAAATACAACCCAGGGCAATCGGACAAGCCTGGGGAGGATGGCAGAGCTGTCAGGAGAGCCTGGACATGAGCTCCCTGTGGGAGTAAGCCCTGGTGCAATCATGGTGGGGAATTCAGGGAGTAGGGGCCAGAAAGGTCTGGGCTTCAGGTATAGGGCAGAGGGACCAGATTAAGAAGAACGTGTAAGCTTTGCCTTTACTTTTGCTTCCAGAGAAGGACAGAGTTCCTCAGCACAGGCCTTCAGCATGGGCGTGGGACTATCAGCTCAGACCCACACACAAAACCCAAACACATGCCCCAAAGTGCCGTTCTCCGATACCACAGCCTACATTCCACAAATAGCACAGCAGTGACATTAAAAAGTCACATTCTTCTCATAGCACACACCCCACCAATGTCCCACACACCACAGCCCTCACCTCTATATACAGACACCCCTCCACTATGCCAACACACACAAATGAGAAGCCTACAAATGACCCCAGACACTCTGCCCCACAGTATGAGCAACAACCGCCAAGCTCATCACACACCTACCCTGCACCGTAGTCCCTCTCTCCTATAGCCTGTGTGTTCATTCTCGTTCCCTCTGCTTCTGGCATGCGCCACACACACTCTTATGTTTCTAATTTCCTTTCCTAGGAATCCAGAAATCACTTCAAGACAGTCCCCAGCCTAGATCAACCCTAGCCCATGTTCAAGAACAAGGGGAGACTGCTCCCCTCTCACCACATGTTTCCTTATCATCCCCTTTATCTGATAAGACCTGTGTGACCTCTCAGTATATGAACAAAGAGGAGAGGGGCATGAAAGTATATTACATGCAGGTACAAGTGAAAAAGGGTGTAGCTGTCTCCTGGGAGACAGAGGCAACCCCAGAGTCACTAAAAAAGAAGCCGATGGTGGAAGAGGTGAACCTTCCCGAGAATGTACAAGTAGGTACGCCCCCCTCTGAGGTGTCCACCAGAAACCTCCTGTGTGACAGTGAGACCCGAGAAGAGGTGAAAGAGCATGAGGAGAGAGGAGAATCAAAGGGCCTGGCAGGATTGTCCGCAGTCGAGGAGACACCCAGGGCTAAGACACCTGACTGGCTGGTGACTATGGAGACTGGCTTCAGGTGCATGGCCTGCTGCAGGGTCTTTCCCACCTTGGAGACCCTCCAAGATCATGTGCAGGTAGGGATTAGGGAGGGCTTCAGCTGCCACGTCTTTCATCTCACCATGGCTCAGCTGAGGAGCAATATGGAATCAGAGAAGATCCAGGAGAAGGAGGAGGAGGAGGAGGAGAACGATGGAGAGGAAGACAAGAAAGAAGAAAAAGAAATGGAGGGGGAGCCGCCCACAGGGTAAGACCTTTGCGTGAGCAGGTCCTGGAGCTAATCAGTGTCCAGGCTGTGTTTCATTCTCCAAGGGATGGGAAGTGAGCGGGGGCTACAGCTGCTGGGGGTGCTGCGCCTGCTCCCAGCCAGCACTGCCTCCGGTCCAGCGCCAGGCCCCCAGGGAGAGTTGGGGGCTGTGACCGATCAGGGAACAACTGAAGGGTGGGGTTGGGGTGGGAAACCAGGCCTCTTCTTGCCCAGACATTTAATAAAGTCATGACTGTAAGTGGGAATTTATTCTCAGCTTTTTCAGTTCCTGCAGGAAGTTCTGAGAATGTCCAAGGGCTAACAGAGTACCTTTCTTCTGTAACTAAGAAGAGTTTTCCTGTGTTTTTGTTTCCACACAGCAACTGAGATTCCAGGCCAGAAGATCCGGGAACACTTACCTTGGGCAAGGTAAGGCCTGAGGCCGGCCGGCAGGGTCTTCTGAGCTCACAGCATAACGGCCCAGAAGAATCTCAGGGAAGGGACTGCAGGGCCGCACTGCCGTACCTGGCGCCTCGGCAGCTGCACTGATGTGTGGCATACCCAGCGCTTCCCGGGACTTGACCTGCAGTGATTTATTGAGAAAGTGGAGAATTTTGACAGGAGTTCTCCCACAGTCTCCAGGATTGACCTCCAGGGCCAGGAGTGGTCTGAAGAAAGGACACGGGGCTTAGCAGGACTGGAGGTTTAGGGCTGAGAGCCTTTGCCTGAGCTGGGATCTCACTATGGCCGGTGGACATAGTCCCTTGAGAGAAAGTGGAATGTGTAGAAGGAGATACGTGAAAACGAGGTCAGCCATAAGAGATCTGGAAATGTTCTAGAACCTTTAGTTTGCTGTAGTTGATCTGAGGACACACGCTCATGGGGGTATGCATGGCCTCTGAGCTGTAAGACAGAGTGAAGGGTCACTCTGACTAGTAGGGCTCGTATTGCTCTTGTCTTTTCCTCTTTCTGTTTTGTTTTCTCACTTCCAGGGAGAAGAGAGGATCGTGGAGATAGTGGCAGACAGAGTGCCAGTGGTGTGGAGGAGGATATATGTCAGCCTCATGCTCAGGCTAACATATAAACATTACATGCAATAAAGGCTGTTTTCCAAAACTCTCCTGGATATACTCATTTTTGTAGATTAAACTTTTTAATGGTTTAAATTACAGCTTATGTTCAATATTATTTTGTATTAGTTTCAGGTATACAGCACAGTGGTTAGATAATCATATATAATACTTTACAAAGTGTTCCTCCTGATATTTCTAGTACCCACCTGGCACTGTACTTCCTGGAAACATCAGTCTTATCTCATCTTATCTTATCTATACCCAGCATCCTATTCCCGAAGCAGCAGTATCCAGCCTCTCGGGACTGATTAGGCTTCTGTGTGACTATGTTGCAAGGCTGGATACCATCTCAAGCTACACTGAGTACAGATGGAGCATGTGGAAAGCAGCGGGTGCTGTGGGAGCCCAGGTCTAATGGGTCCTGACTGAAAGCACTAAGAAGGGAAACTAAGAGGGCCTGGAGGGTGGTCTGCATGTCTCCCAGGACGAAGGAGAAATGTCTCAACCTTGAAGCTGTCCATGGAGCAGGTTCCTCCTGAGATGGTGACACTTTGTCACAGCCCTCAAAAAGAGGTTACTGGACCTCAATCAGGAACTGGGGGGAGAGATTGCTACATAAGGAGTGTGAGCCAGTGAGCTCTGGTATTTCCAGTTCTGACAGTCCTATTTTACCTTCTAAATTAATTCTTATTTCAGCCTGTCAAGATTTGGATCCTGTCACCTCTGAACTTCATCCTCACACCACCTCTATCACCCACTGGAACTCGAGGCATCCAGCAGGTACCGAAGATGCATGAGGTGGTCTACTGTCTTAAAGGTAAAGGAAAGCAATGAGTTTTTTCTAATTTGAATAAAGGGTCAAAGCTGAGCTTTAAAGGAACTAAGGGAATTAGAAAAAAATAGTTTCCTAAGGAAGCTAAGGAAATTATTAGAAGGAAATAATTTGAAGTTCAGAGGTTTTATCAGTTTAAGTAGAATAAGATGTAGTTCCAAAGTCCCATAGGTTTTTTTCCAGGATGTGTAGGGCGTCTTCTATGGGGCTTTATTGAATCAACAATAGCTCCAGTAGTCTGGTGCTGTCATTCCTCTTTGTGCAATAATAATAAACCAGCTTCCTAACTGGTTTTATGCTTCCCAGCCTCTCCATCAGGGATATCATCTGCATATGCATATCTCTTTCTTTCTTTTTTTTTTTTTAAAGATTTTATTTACTTATTTTCAGAGAGAGGGGGAGGGAAGGAGAAAGAGGGAGAGAAACACTGATTGTTTGCCTCTTGTACACCCCCAACTGGGAGCCTGGTCTGCAACCCAGGCTTGTGCCCTGACTGGGAATCAAACCAGTGAACTTTTGCTTTGTGGGACAATGCCCAACCCATTATCCCAAGCTGGTCAGGGCTATGTGCACATCTCCTGCCTCAAGATGCCTAGTGCTTCCTTTAACTGTCATTGCAAAGAGTTTAGAATTTGAGGCTTCTGCTGGCTACCCTTTCATACTCATTCTCTGGCCACCTCTGTACACTCTGTAATCCTCACCTTTGTTCCTTTTCATCTGCTGTGGAACTACCAGGAATTCTCTCTTTCTCTTCCTGGGTCCACGTCATTTCCTTTCCTTTCCTTGGAACATTTGACTTCTCTCTCCCATGGGCTGCTTCAAACACCTAGGGTTTGTTCCACATCAGTTGGTAGGATATTGGTTATAAAATGAGGGTTCTCAGTGCTGTTCCTGCTGGGACTGAAACTTCCCTGTAAAGCATGGAGGGGTGTAACATGAGGCTCTGTAGGTGGGATTCAGAGGGTTGCAACAAGCTCATATTACCTCGCAAGAACTGCACTGACCAGGAGGTGGAGAACTGAGGCCTGCAGCTCGAATGCTTTTCTAAGATGACTGCACACATCTGTCACACCAGATCCTCCCGGTGGGGCCACTGTCAAAGCAAATTTTGAATAAGACTTTGAATCCCTGCTCAGAATAAGGTATTTCAGAGCAGTTTGAAGGCTTCTAGTAAAATAGATGTAACTGAATTCCCTTCCCTGAAATCAGCTTCAATGAACTGGAACAGAAAATGAAAATAGATTGGGGATTTCTCACCAGTAAGGACAGGCCACAGCCCTGGCCACACAGGCCATCAGGTGTGGCCCCCTGACTCTCACTCACTGACTCTGAGTTTCCCAAGCGCCCGAGTTTGGGCGTGGAGGCTGGAGTCAGTGGTCCAGTGCGGGCTTGATAGTCTCCAGATACTGATTCTGCTCCTGGACGTAATGTTCCTAAAGTACATTTTCCTTGTCCCTGGTCACACTGATCTCTCTTCCTTGATAGTTCCCTCCTTCTCTTTCTTACCTCCAGTGCAGGGAACACATTTATTATTTGTTCACAGAAATCTCTACTGTTCTGCTGTGGCTTTCGCTTTCAACATTCCAAAGCCAATAATTTTTCTTTTTCTCCCTCAATTGTGCTCAGTTTTTATCTGCCTAATGCAATGAACTCAGAGGACTTAGCTGACAAGATAGGGGGAGGGGAATCTAGGAGCAAAAAGAAATAATAAAAAGTACTCCAGTTAATTTCTCACAGTATTATCCAGTTATATATATTTAAAATTTAGGAGTAATATAGAAATAGTCCCTTCATAAAAATCTCATGTCATATTAAAGTAAAAAAAATCCCTTTTCGTAATATGCCAACTTCACTCCCAAGCCTATTTCCTTTTGCAGAGATTTTTACTATTAACTGTTTGATTTCAAGATCTTTGGTCTATGCATTTAAATACATAGGTGTTTTATATATGATATCTAGCTTTATAGAGATTTTTGATTCAAAAGTTATATCTATTCTAAAACCAACATTTTTTACTTCTGGTCAAGGTGGCAGCATAGGTAGATACAGCTTGCCTCTTCACAGAACCACATCAAAATTATAACTAAAATATAGAATACCTATTACTCAAACTGGTCAGAAAATGAGTTGAATGGAAGTCTGACAACTACAGATTTAAAGAAACTGCATCCATCCAGCCTGAGCCAGCAAGCAGGTGCCATATCTGAGACTCCATCAGCCTGGCTAACACTGTTTGACCTGCCTTGGAGATCCCCAGAGACTCTGCCCCACCTGGCTTGTAGGCCCGCCCAAGCTGCTTTTCCATATGAATGGCTGGTCTTGGGTCCTTCTTCACAACTTCCTAACTCCTATCAAACAAACAACAGCTGGCCTCTGTGAGCCCCAGGCCCGGCACTAGCAGCAGCCAGCCTAGTTTCACAGCTTGGCTTCACCTGGGAATCTCCAAGTCCAGCCTGAGTAGCATTCATCTCAGATTGCTTTATAGCTTAGAAAGGGTGGCCTGGGAAGAACACAGATGGGGGCTGACCTTGGTCTGCACCACCCAGCAAACACCAGGGCCATTGTGTCCAGTGGACATTTATAGACTGTGTTGAACATCCACCACCTGCACAGCTGATACTTCACAAAGGGTGGTTGGTGGTAAGTGGTCACAGCCAATCTTTGAAGCTGACTGGCTTGGGTAAATCCCTCCCATTGACTTGTTAACAGCAACCAAATCTGAACTACAAGAAGAGGGTGTACTCAGCCCACATAAAGGGGGCACCTTGAGTATCCAGCTTGGGTGATAGGGGAGGCTGTGCCACTGGACCATATAGGACACCTGCCACATTAGGCCACACTGCCAAGACACAATGTCAAAGCAGCACTATCGGATACATAGAAACAAACACAGGGAGACTGCCAAAATGAGGAGACAAAGAAACATGGCCCAAATGAAAGAACAGATCAAAACTCCAGAAAAAGAGCTAAACACAATGGAGATAAGCAATCTATCATGTGCAAAATTAAAAACAGTGGTTATAAGGATGCTCAAAGAACTCAGTGAAGACCTCAACAGCATAAAAAAGATCCAGTCAGAAATGAAGGATAGACTAATTG